TACAGTAGTTGTGGGTGATCGTTGGCGGGCAATGGTGCGGGTTGGGCGCACTGAGTGTCGGTACGGTGTCTCGAATGTCTGTTCTAGACCACACTTGCCGGTAGACCAGTTATTATTCGCTACTCTGCTGGTTATATGCTTGGGCGCCGCCCTCAGTTCCCCACAGGTTGGCAGGACTTTTTGTTGGACATACGGAACGGTTTGAGTTCCGTCATTGGTACTTTGTAGAGCTTTGCTTCTCTCGTTAGGCTCATGCGTTTGGAGCGAGTATCTTCTTGGGATACTCTACTCCTTCCGCCACCCTTGTTCACTGTTCCATCCTTGTTTACTCTTCCCCGCTTGGCGGGATTGCGTCGATGGCTCCTGACTGGGGTGTTTGGTGTGGTGTTTGGTCACCTTGCATGTGTCTTTAGTGCCTTTTGTCCATCTTTTGTTCTTTGTTGTCCTGTGGGGCTCTGCCCCGCATTTCGGTGCTTTTGTTTTCGTTGTAGACCCCTGGGTCTTTTCCCTGTCTGGACACTTTCCTTGCCTATCTTCGGTGCCTGACTGCACCCTCACATAGCCGAGGGAGAAATCATCTCAAGAACCTCAAGATAACCCTGCTGTCCGTAAGGTCCCTCAGGTATGTACGCGCTCCTCTACACATTTTGTGGTTGGTCGTGTGCATTACTTCCCGGCCGCTCCTTGGGCCGTATTCGTGGTTTTCCTTACCTAATTCAGTTTTTCCTCCCCCATGCTACACTTTTTTGTGTATGAGTCAGTGCTTCTTGATTATCCTGTTTGGTTCTCCAATGGACCTCTGTCCACGTTCCACGTCCTGCTTTTGGACTTCTCCGGTGTTCCGTTGTGGTACCGAGTTCCTGCGATTTCTGTGTGGTTTTCTGCAGGCTTCAGGTTGCACTGTCTGTGGGGGGGGGGGTGGACTTTTCGGTCTGCCGCTCCTGCCTTCCTGGCTCCTTTTCTAGGAACCGGGTTTGCTGGGTTCTGGTCCTGGTGTCGGTTTTCCTTTGTTCCTTTTCCGGACCGGGTGTGTTTATTTTCCTGCGGTTCTCGTCCTCGGTAGTTCTCCTCTTGGATGCCTCGAGGATGCGTGTATCATTCTTCCCTGCTGGAGCTGGTTCTGTTGCTCCTTTGGGTTGCGAGGTCGCTGCTTTTAGATTCGCGTTTTGCGCTTTCGATTGCGGTGTTCGTTTCTCGTCGTTTGTGTTGGCACAGGTGGGTTCGTTATTGGTCTCCCACCTGCATGTTTCGTCTAGGGGGCGGTGTTTGGTTTTCCTATCACTGCGAAGGCTCCTTCGGTCTTTGATAGGGTTGGTATGTCTTCCCTTTGGGGTTGTTCTGGGACCATTGTCTGGGATTGTCCTGTCACCTCATGTTGGGTGGTGCTGGCAGCGCCGCTCCTGCTTACGTTCAGTGTTGCGGTTCCTTCTGCTCCATTCCACTTGCTGTCCTGGGCGTTGTTCCCCTCTGGCTTGCTCTTGAGTTTTGGGGCCGTCCTGGTCGTTGGCCTGGGTGGTCTTTTTCTTCTCGTTTTGCTCTTTGTTTTGTCTCTGGTTTTAGTTGTTCAGTTAGGACGTGTGTTATCCGCCTCCCGGTTTCTTCCCTGTTTTACTTATCTTTTGGTAAGGTAGCTCCGGGGAGCCGACGGGGCTTAACCCAGAAAACCAGCGTTGAATGTAATGAAACGCCATTATCTGGGTGAGTCCCGGAGGCTCCCCGGCATCCCTCCCTCCCTCCGGTCGGCGGCGTTTTCGCGTATTTTGACATCCAGCCTAAGAACTGCCAGTTGGATCGCCGGCGTGGAGGGTCTGGGGCTCCCCCTTCCCCCTCTCGGGGAGGGGGGGGGTTGCGCAGACGGTGGCGCGGCGACGTGATGACGTCATGCTAGTTTGATAATTTTGTTTGGGGAGTTCTGTCCACTCGTTCGGCTTTCGGTAGCAATAATTTCACCAGAATAGGGGTTTGTTTTGGGGCGCCTACCTTTCTGGGTGCCTGTCCCGGTCGATGGCAGACATAGAATGCTCCCAATCACAAGGGGGTTTCTATTGGCCATTGCTCCTCGTGCCTCTCTGAGGGGGCCAGGTTCTGGCTCGTGGTCCCCGGTAGGCAAGAACTCCATGCCAGAAAGTTATACATATCCATTCAGCCTGGATAGCTCTGGGGAGCCTCCGGGACTCGCCCAGAAAATGGCGTTTCATTACATTCAACGCTGGATTTTTGCGTTTGTTGGAGTTCTGGCTTCCGAACTGATGCTAGGCAGTTGGCGCGGTGAGGTCCGCTCCCCCCCTCCTCCCCCTCTTGGGGGGGGGGGCTGCACAGATGAGCGGCATGGCAGTAGTGTGTTATGTTTGATTGTCTGCTCGTTTCCTTGGAATTGTAGGGAGTTCTACCTCTTCGTTCGGTTTTTGATGTTGGTTTCTTACCATGTGGGGTTTGTTTTGTTATGCCTACCTTTCTGGGTGCCTAACCCCGCTCGATGGCAGATAAGGAAAACCCCCAACCACGGGAGTTTTCCAGGGCCATTGCTCCTTGAAACCTCTCTGAAGGGGCCAGGTTCCGGCTCATGGTCCCTGGTAGGTCTGAACTCCATAGCTAATGTCCTGGTCTAATATTACATACATTAGCTGATAAGCTCCAGGGAGCCTCCAGGGCTCATCCAGAAAATGGCGTTTCATTACATTCAACGCTGGTTTTTTGGAAAAACAGCTCCATCTGTTGCACATAATAGCAACACATGCTATTCTAAATATGTTATGATTCCATTTATATGTTTCTGATTGCATTATAAATTGAATTTTCATAGATTTTGATTTATTTTCACTTGAATTTAAGTATTTTCTGGGACATTGCGTTGGAATTGAGCTGTGTTGTTTACCATACTGTTCATTTCGTGATTATAGTTTATTTTGTATTTTTTCATTTTTTCATTTTGTTTTTTTAACTTTTTCTAATATTTCAGTGATGGCAACATCAGATCATTTGATGTTCCCAATTTTCTGATGGGAACATCAGATCATTTGGGAATGCTCGACGAGGGAGTGGGGAATGGTGGGGAGGACAAGGGGATGGGAGTGAGGGATGGTGGGGGAGGACAAGGGGATGGGAGTGAGGGATGGTGGGGGAGGACAAGGGGACAGGGGAGGGGGTAATGGTGGGGAAGACAAGGGGATGGGAGAGTTGGGGATGAGGGGACAGGGGAATGGAGAATGATAGGGAGGACAAGGAGACTGGGGAGGGGAGGAATGGTAGGGAGCAATGGTAGGGAGGACTCAGAGACAGGAAGGTCTGCTGTGGCTCAGCAAAAAAAAAAAATATATATATATATATATATATGTATATATATATATATATATATATATATATATATATATATATATATATATATATATATATATATATATATATATATATATATATATATATATATACTGTCTCCACTCGATCATCCGGACTATATGGGAAGGACCCCCAGCCGGATTATCACATTTTTCGGATAATGGTACTTTTTCACCTACGAGTCCAAAAGTGACCATTTCCAACTATTTTTATACTACAAACAACATAATTTGAATTGCCTTGCCACACACAATTATTAAATATTCAACTAGAAACCTCAACTTACCTTGTTGGTGTTCGTCTTCTTGATTGATGCCACACATCTTGAAGTTAAAAATTCTTAACAATTTACGTAACCTATACTAACACAACACTAAAATTAACACTTAAAATTACTGTACAGTTCATTAAGCTAAGTTAGTTTTGACTGCCAGCTGCTGAAGCCTCACTGGTTGAGGGCATTTGGGTTGCCTGTGAGGCCTCACTTGTTGAAGGTGCTTGCTTGCACCTCACTTGTTGAAGCGCTTGCATGCCCTCACTTGTTGAAGGCGCTTGGCTTGCCTGTGACGCCTCACTTGTTAAAGGCACTTGCTTGCGCCTCACTTGTTGAAAGCGCTTGGCTTGCCTGTGGCGCGTCACTTGTTGAAAGCGCTTGGTTTGCCTATAATGCCTCACTTGTTGAAGGAGCTTGGCTTGCCTGTGGCGCCTCACTTGTTGAAGGCGCTTGGCTGCCTGTGACGCCTCACTGTTTGAACAACACGTAACTTGTCTTTAATTGCTAGGACAATCTTCTTCCTCTTAACACTTCCAGAACGATTGATGCTGCTACCAGACATATTCTTGGCCAAAAATGTTCAAAATTACTATGAAAATTAAGAAAGTTATTTAAAAAAATATTTCACTAATGGCGCAGCACTGTGTATAACACGAGGGACGGACGCACATGGGTTGACCAGTGTTGGACAGGTCCACTTGGGGCAGCCATAGCGCGTTACGTAGGCCGCCAGGAGGAAAAAAATTCACAATATTTTTGAAGGAAACTTCAGCCTGTGCACAATGCTTTTAGGAAACTTATTTATTTGTTATTACATAATTACTAGTAGTTATTTTATTTGTTTTTGGCTATGATTAATTGTTCTAAAATTAATGGTAATTCCTGTACCCAGGTAGTCCCTCCTGACGCACCCCTCCCACCCTCCCAACACCACCCACCCACCCCACCCCCACCTACACCATGCGCCTCGAGTCTCGGGCAGACGGGATTAATACCGTATGGCCCGCCTCATGTTTTCATATACGGACAAAGGCACGATTATCCGGGGGACTGACCGGATAGTGTAATTTCTGCAGAAAACCTGCTTTAATCCGGTCCCTGTGGCTATTTTGGCCGGATATTGTGATAACTTTATCCGTTCACGATTTTGGCCGTATAAGGGCGTTTTTCGGATGTTCGAATCCCGGATAATCGCGGGGTTACAGTATATATATATATATATATATATATATATATATATATATATATATATATATATATAATATACATACATAATATACATACATATATACATATACACACACACACACACTGTATATATAATTTTTTAATATATAACTATATATTTGCTAAAAAAAATTGAAAACTCAGCTATACAAATCTTTCCCAGTGGATGAGGCTGTTGAATTGTGTCACAATGCAGTGTTTAGTAACCATGGTCAAAACTGCTGTGCTGGCTCCAGGACTTTTGTGCACGAGTCCATCTACGAGGAATTTGTGAAGAAATCGGTGAAGTTGGCTCATGAGCGTATTGTTGGTGACCCTTTTGATGAGGAAACACAGCAGGGGCCTCAGGTATGTGTATATTTTGAGTAGAAAAAGCAGCTAGAGATAAGTAAACTCTTTGTAACAGTATTATATATAAAGTATAATTTTAGTAAGAGCTGAGGAAGTAGGTAGAATGGTGAAAAAGTTTGAGAACAGAGATGAGTATTAAAGTAACTGGAAATAACAATATTGTACAATTATGTTCTTGTGTAAATGGATGGAAAAAGAGGTCCTAATGGTGTTGCTTAGGGATGATGTTTAGCAAAGACTTTTGTGAATGCTAGTTGAAATGAAGCTTAGAGAGAAAAACCCTGGAATAAATTATGTGGTGTGTGTGTGTCCTGGTAAATTAAGTGTAGAAGACTTTGGCTGTGCAATTTTACTGTGAGTTACGAGCACACCACATTTCACCTGTTACCACATTGACCTAACTCAATGTTGTTACATACATTCTTGTACAGCCATTAGTACGCGTAGCGTTTCGGGCAGGTCCCTGGAATACGATCCCCTGCCGCGAAGAATCGCTTTTTCATCCAAGTACACATTTTACTGTTGCGTTAAACAGAGGCTACAGTTAAGGAATTGCGCCCAGTAAATCCTCCCCGGCCAGGATACGAACCCATGACATAGCGCTCGCGGAACGCCAGGCGAGTGTCTTACCACTACACCACGGAAACTGCTTAACGTATTTTGAAGAGGAGCGTCTTTGGGCTCATGTACCATGGTACAATAGCCAGCTCAACATTATAATTTTGAGTAAGTGCTTCGTGAAATTGGTTCACATTTTTACGTGGTTGAAAGAGCTCATAATAAAAAATCTCTTTAGTGTGAGCCCTAGAAATTCAGTTACCAAAAGTTTAATAGCATGATCTTTTAGGTACAAATAAAGATAAGAATAATAATCTGCCTAGATAGTTAAAGTGTAGAGCTTGTTTGACCATTTAGAGAATACTGTAGTTAATATGTAGTAACTGTTGTAAGTTAAAGGATGAAGCGGTCTATTAAAAATAGGGGTTGACATAGTGAATAAACTGTTAAATAAAAAATATCAAATAATGTTACTCTTAGAAGAACTTCTGATTGTGTGCTTCGGAAGCATTTTGTGGTGAAGGATAAGTAAATGTAGAAACACAGGTTTAGTCAGATTAATGTTGTGTGTAACCTAAATGTAATTACCTAAGTGTAGTTACAGGATGAGAGCTATGCTTGTGGTGTCTCGTCTTCTCAGTACTCTTTGTTGTATACTGCTTTGTTGTGTGTTGTGAATGAATTGCACTTGTAGGTGCAATATAGGTGTAGGTGTAGTCCTTAACAGTGGTGGAAATTAGTTGTGGACCTTAAATGATGTTGAAACTATGTTTTGAGGCATTTAGTCAAACAAATTTTTTGCAATTAACATCTCTTGTTTGTAGGATGATTGCCATCACTTGCTGCAATCAAGGGTTAAGTGTACGTTTCAAGTAATTAAAGGAAGTTTGGTAACGGTTTGGTTTGTTTGGGTACATTTGTTATTAGTAGATGGTGTAAAAGAGGCGTATGCAATTTATTTTTATTTATTTTTAAGGAAGGCATTCAATTTTATACATGTAGACCATAAGGGATGCTGAATTGGAAAATAAGATTAGTTTAACATTAGCTGAGCATAGTTGAACATATACAGTACAAATGAGCCAGTGAGCACTACGCTTTACAGTCGGGAGAAGGAAAGAAACTGTGAGAGTTCGGGGAAACTCTGTCCTCTTACAAATTGTCGCTTTTCGCTCATATGCGCTACGGCCAATAAAGGCCGTAATTTGAAAATTAAAAATAATTACAATAAATTTAAGATTTTTGTTTTCTAAAACAAAAAGTTAAGGGTCCTCTGGTAGGTTAGGAGGGCAGGAAGTTCTCATAAGGTTTCAAAATGTCATGAAAACTGTTGATTGAAAGTTTCCTCTCCTAACCCAACAACCTAAGCCAGAGGACCCAAAACAGAAAATGGGATAGTATGTATTCATGGACCAATTTAATTTTGAATTACACCGATTTTTAGCCTGAGTGAGCATACGAGCGAAAAGCGACGTAATTTGTAAGAGGATGGGTTGGAGAGAGTGTGTGGACACATGTAAAATGGATCCCAACTTAATTTATGAATTTATTACAGCACAAGTAAACTGCATGTGAAGGGTAAAATTAATAGATTAAGAATGGATAACATTTACACATAAGAAAATGTGCAAAACATTAAAATGCTTTCAGAGTATGTCTGTACAACAGTGATTTCACATCACACTTTGATTTTACAAGATTTTACAAACTTAAAAGATATGTCTAGAAATGATATAAAGAAAAATGAATCTTGAATTTATGCAGAGACAAAGTAGTCAGGCCAGATTGTATTTCATCTTGGGTACTAAGAAAATCTGCTCATGAGCTTAGCAACTCCTGTACACATTATTCTCAACAAATCTTTTCAAACAAGAAACCTTGCATTCCTCTGGAAAATGTCAGTGTAATGGATTTGTAAATAAAGTGATTTATAGAGATTATTGCTGTGATTGTGAGTAACATTGTGTAGTACTCCTCAGTGGCCCAAGATATATCTGAATAAAATGTGATTTGGGCATCAAAAGTTGTGATGGTTCAGTACCTCAGTTTTCCAGGTGAGCCAAATGCAGATGGAGCGAATACTGGGCTACATCGAGAAAGGCAAGAATGAAGGTGCAACGTTGGAGTGTGGTGGTGAACGTGTTGGCAACCAGGGCTACTTCATTCAACCCACCGTCTTCTCCAATGTGACCGATGACATGACTATTGCCAAGGAGGAGGTACATTTATTTGAATATCTAGTGATATACTTAATGCTGAAAGGTATAGCCTGGTTTATATTAGCTGCCTTTGGTGTAGCAGATAATGGTATCCCTTATTGCACCTTGCAAACTATATAAGCTTGGGTTTGAGCTTTGGGATGGGAGGAACAATGTGGCATTGATTCTAAACTGTTGAACCCTGCTCACCCAATAGTAATTAGAAAACTGGCAAGGTAATTCTTAGGATGAGCTGCAGAAAGGGAATGTTCTAAAGTCATTTTCTCCTGTACCCTCCAGTAGTAAAAAAATAGGAATAATTATTTTTGTAATAGTTTCAACATTACCCTGACGATTATCTTGCCTTTGTGATAACAAACTTGGATTATGTATGATTGCAGTTTTGAGCATCATACTATAAATTGGATGTAAATTTTATAGAAAATATACAGTTATTACTTACTGCAAAATTAGGAATGGCCTCTATAAGAGAAGACTTTAAAGAAAAACTATATATACTGTACATTGTTTTGTATGACATAGGGTAAGGGAAGAGATATAATTGAAGAGTACAGAGGGTTAGAAAGGTTTAACAAGAAGGAATGTTGATAGAGTTTTGGAAGTATGAACACAAAATATAAAACTAAATATGGTAAACAATGGATTCAGTTTGGATAAATTTAGATTTAGAAAGTAATAGACATTGGATAAAAGATAGTGTTTATAAATAAGAGTAGCATGCCAAAAATCAGTATCATCATAGAAGGTAACTCACTTTGAAGTCGCATTCAAATGTGCCAAATATGAGCGGGAGTAGATTGATACAAATCAAAGCTACCTCACACATGCGGGACCAAAGAGCTGAAGCTCAACCCCTGCAAGCACAACTAGGCGATACAGGCCAATAAGCCATTTGCAGATTTTTATTCTCATGTTCTTAAATTGTAGATTTTTGGTCCAGTGCAAGTAATACTGAGGTTCAGTACAATGGATGAAGTGATTGAACGCTCCAATAAGACACAATATGGCCTTGCTTCTGGAATTGTGACTACTGACATTAACAAGGCTCTGACCTTTGCCCAAACTATTCGTGCTGGATCTGTGTGGTAAGACCTTTTTTGTAATGCAGGCAAATTATTTCTAACCACATCAGTATTCTGCAAATACTATATAGAGTAAAATTTAATATAAACTAAGAGTTTTATATTTCTAGACTTTTCCAAATCATAGGATGCTGCTCGTAGCCAAGATACTTGGCAGTTTTCAAATTTCTTTGAACTAAATTTTTTGTATTATCTCCTCTTTGGTTTCAAATTGCATCAGAGTTCTATTCTGATAGATATTAAAATAATAATCAGTTGGTGGTAACTGCAACCGGATTATATATAAATTTATGAATATGAGAACCAAGAAAGTGGGCTATAATTACCATTATTCATTGTTTTTAGGGTAAACTGCTATGATGTGTGCCTTCCTCAGACACCATTTGGGGGCTACAAGCAATCTGGTCAAGGACGAGAGTTGTACGTATGGTCTATTGTTGTTTGTTAAGCATAATTTACTAATACTATGGCTATATACTGAGTGCATATATAAAGTTGCCCGTATTATTATAGTTTAATAATACAGTATTATCTCCATTTTAGAATTTAATCCGTTCCCAGAGACAATTCGAAAACTGAAACGAATTTTCCCATAAGAAATAATGTAAATTAAATTAATTCATTCCACACACTCAAAAATATTAACAAAAATACATTTTATACAGAATACTACTCCCATTTTTCATACACAAAACAATCAGGTATAAATATAAACCATAAATAAAATAAGTGAACATTTAACTGCACTTTACTGAGGACTCTTGTTGGCGTATGGGAGACGGTGAGGAAGGATGGAGCAGCAGTGTCGGTGTATGGGGAGGGTGAGGAAGAGGGGAGAGGAGGTAAGACTTAAGACCCCTGCTCGCCTTAAACACATTCATATCTGCATCACTGGTTCAAGATTTTCCTTTCACACATTTCACTGCCTCTGTTATGTGGCAGCTTGTCAGAACCAGTCAGTTACAGTCACAACATGTCAATCAAGCATTCACATTTAAGACCAGTCATAGGCAGTCATTACCAAAGGCAGTCAAGCATTCACAGGCAGTCATAACCAAAGGCACTCGAGCATTCACATTTGTAGTAGCAACCGGTTAGGTATTTATGGTCAGTCATGCATTTACTGTACAGTCAATCAGCCATTCACAGTCAATCGGCCATTAACAGTCAATCAGGCTTTAATGAAAGGGCGCTCAAGGAGTCTGCCTCCTGATCCATCAGCTGGTAGTAAGGAAGCCTACCATATTAATACCGTCCAATTGGCTAGGAGGAGTACTGCTGGGAGGGTCCAGTCTGGGGGATGAGGGGATGGAGGAAGGAGGCTGTAGGATGGGGGGGGGGGGGGGGTTGAGGTAGTGGGTAGGGTACGGTGTGTGGGATGAGGGGATGTCTTTGGGAGGGAATGGAGGGATGTCTGGGAAGGGAATGGGGGTGACCAGCTCCTGTTTTAGTCCTAGTCAGAAGCTCGCCCACTCATGCCATCGCCTCTGCTACCCACCCACCCACTCTGCCACTCGTCCTGCTATTCATCTGCCCACCTGCTGTCTCCTGACTGCCCTACTACTCATCCACTCTGTGCCCACCCAACCATCGATCTCCTAAAGTCTACCATCAGCCACCCACTGCCTTAGTCTACTATTAGCCACCCACCTCCTTAGTCTACCATCAGCCACCCACCCTCCTTAGTCTACTATTAGCCACCCACCTCCTTAGTTTACCATCTGCAACCCACCATAGGCAGTCTACCATCAGCCACCCACCACCTTAGTCTACTATCAGCCACCCACCTTAGTCTACCATCTGCCACCTACCACCTTAGTCTGCCATCTGCCACCCACCTCCTTAGCCCCCATCAACTTCGCAATGTGCCTACAGGCCCTCGACGGGGGTGCGCAACGCGCCTCCGGGTGTTTATATTTTTAGCGTTCCATTCAAAACTCCCGCAGCTACATAGGGTTCACATCAGCTTCCTCGGGGCTTTTGTAAATAGACGCCATCTTTAAAAAAAAAGTAGTGGGTCACATTCCCGGGTGTGAGAGCCTCAGTACTGAGTGAGCAACCAAGGCTGGTGCACACATCATGAGCTCACACCACTGCTGTTCAGCATTGTGACCCCAGCACCGCCTAATAATGTTAAAATATATATATAACGTGTATTATTTAGTCATGATAGTATTACAGAAGAGCCTGAGTGTGATAATGGGTGTGTAAAATAATCAAATATTAGTGATTCAATGCTGTTCACTATGTTCACAGTACTAGCCACAGCACCACAGCATATTTCGTCCATCTAGGAATCGTCAAACAACTTCGTAGGTTCCTTTACAAAATAAACTTGTGGTCAATTATTCATTTACAGGAATTAGTGACCAGGATTATGATACCAGCAGGATTGTGGTGATAATTAGCGCTGTGCATAGTATTGTGGAAGGTGGTGGTGGTTTGGTGAGGGAGGGAGGGAGAGAGACAAGATAGTGTCACTGTGTGGCAGCCACTCTTGTTTTGCTCACCATACTAGCTTAGTGGTTTGCTATTGTGAATACACATGTACATGGGTATATACGATGTGTGTATGTACCCATGTACATATGTGTGTAGTATTGTGGGAGGAGAAATTTTGGTGAGGGAGGGAGGGAATCGAGGTAGCCTCACAGTGTGTGGCAGCAACTCTTGTTTTCCTCACCATAGTGGTTCGCTATGGTGAACACACATGTACATGGATATATACAATGTGTATATATAGTGCAATAACAGCAACAGGAGTATTTTGGGAGGAGCTATTTTGTTGAGGGAGGTGACGTCATAATCGTAGTGTCATCTGCTGGCTGCTGTGTGATTTCTCATGCAGTGTATGGTGGCCACTGTGCTGACAAAATACCGGCTTACTTGCATAGTTCTGGTGAGTAAAACATTTAGATATGTATACATAACATGTGTAAATAGTGTAATAAAAACAATAACAGTATGGTGGGAGGAGCAATGTTGGCGAGTAAGATGTTGGAGTGAAGAAGGACTGGCTGGGTGTGGCAGCTCACACTCGCGCAGTTCAGAGTGTGTTTATGGTGAATGTATATAGTGTGTGACAGTGTATAGTGTGTAAATATGTTATAAATATACATAAATGAACATGAAACATTGGTGTGAATAATAGTATGGTGGGAGGAGGGGCGATGGCGAGTACAATGTTGGAGGAGTGAGGGAGGACTGGCTGTGTGTGGCAGTTCACACTCACGGCATTCAGTGTGTGTTTATGGTGTGTGTATATGTAGTGTGTGATACTGTACAGTGTGTAAATAAATTGATTATTGATAGACATAAATTAGCATGATACATTGGAAATATGTGCCGGATATGTGTACACGTGTCATGCACGTAACAGTGTCTTCGGACAGTACGGATGTTCTACTGCCATAATATAGTGTAGGTGTTCATTATACATGGGATTGACACGAAAAAACAAATAAAATGTATTTGGAACTGTGCGCAAAAAATTAACAAAAATATATTCGTGGCAACTCGCGCATCTTGACCCAGGTGACCTACTGGCCCCAGGAGCGTACGCCACAGGCGACCAGGGATTGATAACGTCATGCGCAAACTTACGGATCCCATTGCAGTCAAAGTACAACGTTGACTTTTTGTTAACATATCCATACTCGGGAAAAGATTTTTGACTTTCAGAAAAACAAAGAATTTTTTCCAGAGAATTTATTTCCTGTGCACTGGGGGGGGGGGTTGCCATATTTGGAAGCTGAGCAGTTCAGGGGTTAGTTTACCATCAGCCACCCACCACCTTAGTCTACCATCCGCCACCCACCACCTTAGTCTACCATCAGCCACCCACCACCTTAGTCTACCATCAGCCACCCACCACCTTAGTGTACCATCAGCCACCCACCACCTTAGTCTACCATCAGCCACCCACCACCTTAGTGTACCATCAGCCACCCACCACCTTAGTGTACCATCAGCCACCCACCACCTTAGTCTACCATCAGCCACCCACCACCTTAGTCTACCATCAGCCACCCACCACCTTAGTCTACCATCAGCCACCCACCACCTTAGTCTACCATCAGCCACCCACCACCTTAGTCTACCATCAGCCACCCACCACCTTAGTCTACCATCAGCCACCCACCACCTTAGTCTACCATCAGCCACCCACCACCTTAGTCTACCATCAGCCACCCACCACCTTAGTCTACCATCAGCCACCCACCACCTTAGTCTACCATCAGCCACCCACCACCTTAGTCATACGTGTACAGTATCAACAAATACGAGCACCGAGGCAAACCTTGAGTATCGAGTTGAATTTTTTTAAGAAATTGAGCTCGAGAACCAAAAAATTTTAAAACGGGCATTCAAAAACTGAGGTTCCACTGTATAGTGTATAACTATAGCATTTTGCAAATGAATGAAGAATAGGATAGCTTGTTCTAATAATTGTGGTTAAACAGCTTTAAAAAGCCAAATTTAATAAATGATCAGCAAAAATTAATTTGCCAAAGTATAAGAGCCTTTAATTAAGAATGATCAAGACATTGATCATAAGACAAGAGTTTTGGATTAGTGTGGTCATGCAGGACTAGTGAGAATAGAGCTAATGGCAGCACTGTAAATGGGACAAGGTAGTTATTACAAAAAGTTAATCAACTAATGAAAGAAAAGAGTTTAAGAAAATGTTGCTGGGAGATGAGAACTGCAATATTCAGCAATATGGAAGCACATAATAAGTTATAAGAACATTGTTGAGCTCCTCATCATTATGATTACAAAGTTCAGTGTGAATGTACTCATTTAAAAATTATGGAGAACTAACATACTGTACAGTATATGAATTTGAATGATACAGGCTTATAATGACATGAATAGAAAATAATTTTCTTTGTAACTTAAAATCATTTGTTTGTTTCAGGGGTGAGGAAGGCTTGACAGAGTATTTGGAGATGAAGACCATAGTGATCAAGGTACCTAGCACGACATTATAACCTAAACTTCAACTTCTAATCAGTTCGCTTTAACCCTTCAACTGCACATATCAACCAGGGTTGTTTCATTGGTGGTGTGCATGTCATCCAAGGCCTAGTTTAGGTCAAGCGTAAGATTTAAAACTCCTGTGGTTACACAGGGCTCATATATACTTGGGTCTCCAGTAAACAGGTGCATCTTGGAAAAATTGTGGGCACCCTTATTTGGTGTGATAGCATCAGTACTAGCACAGCATCCATGATTAGTGCATGCAGCAGCAGCTCACAGCATCACTTAATGTTGAAATATGTGCACAGTATATATGTACACATATAAAATGTGTACACAGTGTGATAATAGCAGAAACTATATGTTTTACTGTCGATAGAATATAATATTGTGCACATTAGAGACATGGATGTATTTGTATGTATCAATGTTATACACATTTTAATATAAATTTCTAAAGTGACACACTATTAAATAATATAAATGCAAAATAACAAGTGAAAAAACAAATCAATGACACTGAAATAAATTGGTATAAATATATTTGTCGTATCTTCCACCAACCGCGCAATTTGGTGCCTTCTTTTGATAATTACTTACTTCCACCAACCGCCTGGCCCACACGAGCCGGTGGCCGAGCAGACAGCACGCTGGACACGTGAACCTGTAGTCCCGGGTTCGATCCCAGGCGCCAGCGAAAAACGATGGGCAGAGTTTCTTTCACCCTATGCCCCTGTTACCTAGCAGCAAATAGGTACCTGGGAGTTAGTCAGCTGTCATGGGCTGCTTCCTGAGGTGTGTGTTCTCTGTTACTGTCCTTTCTCTTTAGTAATTTTTATTCTTCAGTGGAATATTCGTGTATTTTATGCCAACTTCCATGAACTCCAACTTCTAATTACACAGTTTTCACCGCTTTGTGTTTGTCTCCAGGAACCGATGCTTGGTGCTCGTCCTGGTCACTTTCGTGGTTATTATTTTCTTTCTCTTCACCCCCCCAGCTCTTGCTGGGGCCCATAACTCTACTGCTCTTTTAATTCGATCTGATATTCCCTTCGTCCCCCCCAACTTCTTCCATCACCTATCCATTGTTCTGCTGCCCATGTTTTTGTAGGTAAATGGTATACAGTCTGTTCCATTCATCTGCCCCCAAATGTCCTGCTTTCCCTTCCTGATCTTAAGTACCTCCTGGACTCCTTGCCAGAGCCGGTGCTCCTTTTGAGTGATTTCAACTGTCGACATTCCCTCTGGGGTAATGTTCTGACAAACACCCGAGGCCGTCTACTCGAACCGTTCGTCCTCGCTTCTTCTCTATCTCTTCTGAATTCTGGCGAGCCCACTCATGTGGACTATCGAACTTGCACCCTTTCCTGTCTTGATCTTTCTCTCTGCTCGTCGTCCCTTTACTTAGATTTCACGTGGCAGGTTCTTGATGACCTCCATAACAGTGATCATTTCTCTATCCTCGTTTCCTTTTTCTCTTTCCACCCTCCCCTCTCCTTCTCTAGGTGGCAGTTTGCCAAGGCTGACTGGAACCTATTTACCCTCTGTGCTACTCTCTCTCCCTCTTCCTCGCACCCTCCTTCTTTTTTATAACACTGTCTTCAATGCTGCCCTCCGCTCTATTTCTCGCTCTTCCTCCCAGGGCACACGGAAGTGCATTCCCTGGTGGAATGCGGACTGTGCTCGGGCTGTCCGCTGTAAGCGTGCAGCCTGGAAGATACACCGCCGCCAGCAGACAGCCGATTCTTTTATTTTGTTTCGGAAGGCAAGTGCAGTGGCCTGTAGGACCATCCGTACAGTTAAACGTGAGAGTTGGAAATCTTATGTTTCCACCATTACGTCCGATACTCCTCTGCCGCAGATCTGGAAGAAGATCCGCAAGATTGCGGGCAAGTTCATTCCAGATGTCTCGCCAGTTCTCCACCTCTGATACTTTTGTGGCAGATCCAGTGAAGGTCGCAACCGAACTGGGTTCCCACTTTTCTTCTGTTAGCACTGGTTCTCATCTTCCTCAATCCTTCCTTCTTCGTAAGCCTGTTCTTGAATCTTATCCTTTAGATTTCCGCACTCATCTCCGCCTTCCCTATAACAGTCCTTTCTCTCATTCTGAACTTCAATCTGCCCTGGCCCTCTGCGGATCTACGGCGGCGGGCTTGGATGACGTTCATTATGAGATGCTTCGCCATCTCCCTCCGTGCACGCCTCAGTATTTACTGAGTCTGTATAACCAGGTCTGGGAGTCGTCGTCCGTCCCCGAGGTCTGGCTCGATGCCGTTGTACTCCCTATTCGGAAACCAAGGTCTCTCGGTACATCCCCTAAGGACTTCCACCCTATTGCTCTCACGAGTTGTATTTGCAAGCTGTTTGAGTGTATGGTAAATGTCCGTCTGATGTGGTTCTTGGAACACCACCACCACCTCTCTCCTCAATTTGGTTTTCGCAAGTGCCTCAGCACAACTGATGTCCTGGTGAACTTGGAGGTCTTTATTCGTACTGCTTTTGCTGCGAAGACCTCTGTTGTTGCTGTCCTTTTTGACCTGGAAAAGGCTTATGACACGACTTGGAGATACCATATTATGTCCCAACTTCGTTCTTTTGGCCTTCGTGGTAATCTCCCTCTCTTCCTCCAAAGCTTTCTCTCTCGTTGTACCTTTCGAGTCAGGCTTGGTACCACTCTCTCTGCCTCTTTTCGGCAGTATGAAGGTGTGCCCCAAGGTAGTGTTCTTAGTACTACTATTTTTCTGGTTGCCCTCAATGGTCTTCTTTCCTCCTTTCCTTCTGGTATCTTCTCCGCTTTATGTTGACGATCTTACTCTTTGCTGTCGGGGTGATGATTCGCCTCTCCTTCAACGGCGGCTTTAACTTGTGATTGATGCCGTGTCATCTTGGGCCACCAATCATGGCTTCAAGTTCTCTACTAAGATTTGTGCCATGACTTTTACTCGGAAGTGGGTCGTTCTTCGTCCCTCTTTGTCACTTTATGGTCATCCCCTTGAGAACAAAGATTCATCGAAGCTTTTGGGGTTATTCTTTGACACTTGTTTGTCTTGGTCGCCCCATGTCTCTTACCTCTGTGTTGAATGCTCTAAGGCCCTTAACCTACTTAAGGTTTTGTCCCATACTTGTTGGGGAGCGGATAGACACACGCTCCTCAATTTGCATTCCTCTCTCGTCCTGTCTAAACCCGATTATGGTTGCCCTGCATACTCTTCTGCTTCTCCTTCTACTCTTCGCTGTCTTGATCCTTTGCACCATACTGGGTTGCTCCTCAGCTCTGGTGCTTTTTGTTCAACTCCTACCCTCAGCTTGTATGCTGACACTGACTTTGTCTCTCCAGGACCGCCGTGATCGCTACAGTCTTCGCTATCTTGCGCGATCCTTACAGCATCCTCACTCCCATCTCTACTGTGCTTTGACTTTTACCCCTCCTGTAGTTCCTGTTCCTCTTCACCACCTTGCTCTTTCTGTCCGTTTGTCTCGCTTAGAAGATTCTCTTTCGGTTCGTATTACTAATGTTTCTCCTCGTATTGTTCCATCCTTGCCTCCGTGGAGGGTTCCCCTTCCCAAATTTTGTACTTCTCTGACCACCATCACTAAAGTTTTTACTCCTCCTACGGTTCTGAAACGCCTCTTCCTTTGAGCACTTTTCTTCTAACTCCCACTCCGTTCCCATCTTCACCGATGGGTCTAAATCTGCTGACGGTGTGGGCTACTCTGTTGTTTTTCCTGACCATACTTATATGTGTCGCCGTCCTCTGGAGGCTAGCATCTTCACAGCAGAACTTTATGCTATTCTCTATGCTCTTCATCTCCTGCTTTCCCGGTGTCAATCCTCCTTCGTGGTGGTAGTTGACTCTCATAGTGCCCTCATGGCTTTATGGTTCTTTAATCCGGTCCATCCGGTGGTCATCGAGATTCAACATTGGCTGTTTCTTATCTCCAGTAAGTCGGTTGCGTTTTGCTGGGTTCCCAGCCATGTTAGTGTCTCTTTCAATAAGCGTGTGGTTGCTGCCGCTAAGGACGCTATCCGCATTTGTCCCATCTCCCGTAAAGGTATTCCTTATTCTGACTTTTTCCCAGTTATTCATGCCTCCATCCTTGCCTGCTGGCAGAGTTGTTGGTCTTCTGTTATTGATAACAAACTGCATACTCTTAAGAGTCGTGTGTCCCAGTGGCCTTCCTTCCTGCCACCGTAACCGGAGGTGGGAAACGGCTCTGGCTAGGTTGCGTATTGGCCATACCCGTTTAACTCACGGTCACTTAATGGAGCTCTGCCCTGCTCCTTATTGTCCAAATTGCATTGTTCCTCTTACGGTCGTGCATATCCTTGTTGAATGTCCTGACTTCCAGGACGAGCGTGTGTCTTGTTTTCCGAACGTTCCCCGCGGTCGCTTGTCCCTCGATAGAATTCTTGGTGACTCGGATACTTTTGATATCGTTCGCCTTGTGCATTTTTGTTCTCGTATTGGCATCCTTGGTGATATTTAGCGCCCTCTGATTATCCCGCACATTTGATGGTGCTATATAGCCTTCCCGGTTTGGTGCCTTCTTTTGATAATTACTCGCTTACTTGCCACATGAATTATATTATAAACAATGACATGATTGGTTATTTAATTCTTTATTGTTTTGAATTTATCTAATGCAAATGTATACAGTGTAATTTAATTTATATTTAAACAATTGCAATATATCAAATATTTATTTGTTAAATATTTATTAACCTAGTTAGTTATATTTAGTTAAGTGGCAAGTAATTTACTCACTAAGGTGAGCTCGTAAGCCCTAGTAATTGCACCTGCAATACAATGGGATTAGTAGCACAAATATATTGGATCCAAATCTCAAAAACATCACCAACCCTCCCATATTTTTAATGTATTATGCAGGTACGGAGCTCTCAGGCTTATTTTACTAAGACTTGGTTAGCCCCTCTTGTTGGGCCAGAGCTTAGAGAGTTGTTCATTACCATGTAGTGGAGTGGTGTGTGTTATGGTGTCTGACTTCTTTAGCTGAGGTTTCAGGTGTGGCCGCTAGTATTCTTCCACCTCATGGTTTGTTCTCATTTTATTCACATAGTTTTGTTATTTCACCACACTAACTGACCACAAAATAAACAGCTTAACTTGAAAGCATACATTCCATGGTGTGCTTGTTTGTTTTTGTGTGAGGGTGTCTGGCTCCTTGCTGGTGTGGCGTCGGTGTAGCCTCCCACTCCTCTCAGTTTATGGCAAGATACACACAAGTCTCTTTATATCATGTGTCTTAGTGTTTATACACTTATGAGTGTGTAGTTTATACCACCATACAAAGGTACACTTATCTGTAAAACGGCTAAAACTAAGCGTTTACAACCATGGTGTGTTTTCTTGAGGTGGTGGAGTTTTGCTTACTTGTGGAAGTGTCTAAACACTAATTAAATCCACACCAAGGCGGGTAAAGTTACCCAATCCATTTTAAAGGTCGATTTACAATCGCTAACCAAACATATCTGGTTAAACAATTATTTATTAATTATATGTAATTATTTAAAGGATATAGTATTACAATGATATGCTTATAGCTATTTGATTTAATTACATATCCTGGTATGGAGGCCATTACGGATGCTTCCCTGGGGTAATGTGTTCAAAATGGTGGTCATTTGCTGACTAGACATTCTCTCTGTCCTGGGAGGGCTTGGTTTTGTTCTATAAATAGCTATACATAAGCAATAGGCCATGTTATACTATATTTTTGGTGGAAATTTTCCTCAGACAGAAAAATATCTGAGTAGCCACATGGCACAGAGTCGAGAACATACACCAAGCTCACTGGCTGCTGGAGTCATTAATGCATATGCAAATAATTACAGTTTACTTACTCAACATTCACACCACATTTATACACATGCTTGTTCTTAGCCATCAGTGAATGGGGAAGTTGTCTCTACTGTTGCAAGCTATCTCTCACAAGATGTGTCTTGAGTTAGAAGTACTTGTAGCTTTTGAGGGGAACAGTACTCAGGAGCTCAAGAGAGCCTACATCCTTTTCAATGCACAGCATCACTGAGAATGATGAGATAGAGCTTAAAGCGAGATGGTGGAACTCTCACCTTGTGTCACTTGTTAAAAGCCTTCACATAGAAGTTAAAAGCCGTCACATAGAGCACCACCAATCAGAATGCAGTTTCTACCATACAGACATATCTGATTAGGTAAGCTCTGGGCTTCTCTGACGACATTGGGAGTGGAAGGAAGCGGTATGAAAACCGTTAAAGATCAGGTCAGCCATGCAACTATACATACAACAGCTAAACTTGTGGTTGGAATCTCCCATGATTATACAGGCGAGTTGTATAAACTGCCATCTGCTAGTATAATCAGACATCTTATGTCACTACACACATGATATTTGAACCACCCATGTGATCCTTAATCTGTAGACAGCTTACACGAGGTACTTATGTTTTTGGATAAAGGCTCGGTGCACAACATTGCTCAGCACAGCAGCCATAGGGTACAAGTCAAGCTTCTAGCTGAGAGAACACAATTCTCCCTCACAAGTAGATGGTACCATCTCATCATTGAATGTAATATGACTTTGGGGGCCCACCGGGGTTCACCCAAAAATTGGCTTTTCATTGCATTCAACGCCGAGTTTTTTTTTTTTTTTTTTTTTTTTTTTAGATAGCATGTACAGTATAATACTTTATTAATACTATATTTGTATTGGTAAACATAACACAGCCTGAATCCTTTTTCATTTATTATCAGCATTTTCTTCCTGCATTTTGAATGCCTGACAATTGTCACATTTTAACTTTCAATCTTGGAAGGTTTGAGAATGATATTTATACATTAAATTGTAATTGGTAGTTTTACGAATATAATTGCAACTGTATTATAAGATATGCTGGTATTGAGGCATAAGAAACTTTCCTTAATCACCTTTATTGATAGAACCTTGTAGTTAAATTTCTAGGGGCTAGTAACACTATAAAAGGTATACACTTTGTTGCAGGTTCCCTCTAAGCTGTGATCCTCAGACAAGAGAGGAAGATGGTATGCACGTACTGTAACAAAAGGCAGCTATAGTGGTCCTCATTTATCTTTTATTAACAGGTACATGTTTGTGCAAGGTTTCATAAATGCTAATCTTCTCAACATAATAAGGGGAAATAATTTTAATTTTTAGATATTGAAATGTATTAATGGATCATATTTATTTTATGGTCCAAATATTTGATAGTTTGCTCACTATGAATATTGCTTGGAAAACGATTTTATTTTTACTCAATGAGATTCATAATAAACTTTAGAAAAGTAGTCTGCATTTCTCTTTACCTACATTTGAGAACTGTGCTCAGTTGTGAAATATGTATGTAGTGATAATTAGGTATCACCAGTAGTGATATATTATTGTTTTACTGTACAGTATTATGTTTTGCAGTGTTTAAAACATTTTATTGAGGTTTCTATTCAACATCTTGGAAGTTCCTGCACTTAAGTTTGAGCCCTAAAATATGACTGCTGTTGAAATCGATTAATATAGCCCCATAGCAAATTCTTTTAAACTATCTTGAGAGCCTCATTTTATTGACTTAAAACCTAAAACACTTACGCACATGAAACTAGATTCCTTTCATTATTAAAAAGGCTGCTAATTGTGTGCCATTGTGATGTATGCTTCAAGAGTCTCTAAGGCCTAAGACAAGGATGCCATTAAAATTTCATATGCAGCATATGTCAAACCAGTGCTAGACCATATAATACTAGTGCCCCAAACTCAAACAGCATAAAATGAAGGCTGAATAAAGTTGAAATTTTCTACAGGGCTTGTTAATCCTGGAATTGAGGGTACTAAAGACATATTAAGAAATTATCGATAATTAAGAGTGTGATTCAAACAATAATTCAATTTTGACAGCTTGTATAGCTTCAGCAGTAATGTAATGTTCTATAGGCCATGGAAGCTAGACATGCAGATGAGCCATAGCTGGGAATGTCTGGAAATAATTCCTCAATGCAAAGGAACAGAAAATTGCATCTTCAAGGATACCATCCACCTTTCAGACAAGCCAGAACAAGAGCAGGTGGTGGGATGCTATATTTAAAAAAGGACTTGAATACATCCACCACTGAAGAATTGAAAACCAAAAGAGCCCCAGAAATCTGCATGGTGCACCATAATAGCTCAAAATGGTAGCAAGCTGACAGTGAGAGTATGCTACAGGGCAGACACAGCAACAGCAGAGGAAGTTGCTTATGTGCATAATGTGATAAATGCTGCAGCTGAACCTCAAGCCCATTTAATGGAGGACTTTAACCATGAGATAACAGACTGTGTGAATTTAATATCATAAGCAGAAGTTGAGCAATTTCTTGATCTGGTTGGGACCAGTGGCAGCTCGTGAGAAAAACGTTGCCAGTTGTAGCTCTGATAAATCTTACACTATTCTACAGCATAAGACCTTTATTTTTATCATGTTTTAATTAAAATGTTCAAAATTTAGGTATAAACATATTAAAATAACGTATCAAGACTATGACATTTGTTAATTACTTGTTATTCTAGTGTAAGATTGATAAGAGTCGTACACCTGGCAGTGTGGGGGGCCGGGTGATATAAATATCAATACCCTTATATCAGGCAGATATAAGGCTGCCTGAATACTGTGTTACTCACATTGAAACAACATTTGTGAGTCCAGTACTTGTCTCTCAAACCATTGACCAGTCGACTTGCGGCTGGGTTAAGCCCTGGCACTTTCTTCCCCACTCTAATCAATTCCTCTCCCCCCGTAACTATTTTTCTTCTTGTCCCCACTTCACAGCTCGCCCATTGGGTAATTTTTTCTGTTAGTCTTTGCCTTGGTCTTAGCATCTAGGCAGTCTTTCAACATAGCAGCCAGCAGTAATAATACCTCTTTATCAGCTTCAGTCCTACTAAATGTGACCAATCTCGACCATCACCGGTACTTAACAGTACTGGTGTGCTACCTTACAACTCGCCTTGTCATGACACTGTAGTATCATACAACAACCATCGCTGTAACCGTTTACATCAAATATATATCTAGTTACCATATTGTGTGTATTGTTCAAACCTGTCATAACTTTACTAGCTCACCAAGCCACAATGTAGAACAGAAAACAAGATTTTTTCACCCAAAGTGATATAATAATTTAATAAAAATTATGTCCAGGAACAGGCAGCCAATGTATATATACATGTTAGCCTTATATCAAGAACCTGCCTCTCCCCCCAGGTCAAATTACTGACCAGGATGCAACCCCACAACAAGCTGACTAACTCCTGGTTACCTATTTACTGGTAAGTTACGTATTATTTCGAGGCCGTAGGTCACTGAACTGTTGCGATGAATTCGAACGAAAAGCACATGGTATACAGGGAATAGACCAGTCCACCCGTGATCGAATTTTGAAAGTTGGAGCCATTTTTTTTTTATTTATTTATACAAGAGTTCTTACATTCTTGTACAGCCACTAGCATGCATAGGGTTTCAGGCAAATCCTTAATCCTAATATTGCCGGAATACGTCCCAGTCAAATCATTTAACAAGCAGGTACCCATTTTACTGTTGGATTAGCAGAGGCAACAATTAAGGATTGGCATCCAGTTATTCCTCCCCAGCCAGGATACGAACCCAGGCTAAAGCGCTCACGAAACGTCTGGCAAGTGTCTTAACACTACGCCACAAGGACTGCAGTAACATAAATAATTTCTCAAACAGCAGATGTCTATCATATTAAAATATGTTTTTTTGTTTTAGTTTATTAATATAATTAGGATAATAAAGAGCTATTAAAACACCAGTTTTAGAAATGATCTGTTATTTCCAAGTTTTTGAATATCCAGCGACACTGATGGTGCTACATAGTCTCCCTGAATTGGTGTATTCTTTTGATAATTATATACTTATTCCCACTCTCATCCCTTCATCCACACTGGGAAAATCTTCCCATACGTGAGTACTATAGTTCATTTATTATGTACCCATATCCATCCCGTGGGCGGTAGTGGAAAAGGTTACACACACACAATTATGGGCTTGGGAAATGAACCCCAAAATCCTTTTAGCTAAGCAACTTAGTTTAATACAGTATGAATGAATCAACAAATAATGTGAGTTGGAGAACAACCACAAGTACAGTCTCTAAGCTGTTAAGATGATGTCAGTTTGATGTACTCTGGCTGCTGCTTGAGTAACATTTAATCTATGTTGATTCATTGTTACATTGTCAGTCATTTTCCTAGGAGGTGAGGGGGATGGGGAAGGGTAATCATTTATGTAGGTCACAGATTGTTGAAAAACATCGACAGAAGTTAATTCATACTAATTCGACGTTAAAAAGTAAAATGTAAATTTATTTTTACTCACGTCATACATGAACAACAGATCGACCAACTAACTAGCTTGCTGGATTAATATGTACTGTACAAAGTCCAAGCTTGATAAAATCATCTGTTAGCACAAGGTTGGGAACTATGAGGATAAAATTAGGTACTTTTTGGTTTTATTCATGAATAAGGCATAGGTTGGACAATTTTTTAATTCATTAGGGAGTGAGTTCCATAGACTGGATCCTTTTATTTGCATGGAGTGTTTGTACAGATTTAGTCTGACTCTGGGAATATCAAAGATATATTTATTTCTGGTGTGGTGCTCATGGGTTCTATTACATCTATTAAGGAAGAATTTCAGCTCAGGATGAACATTTAGGAACAAGGTTTTGTACATGTAAATAGCAAAGAGAACGTGTGGAATAAGTTTATGTTTAGCAAGTTAAGTAATTTAAACAGAGGGGCTGTGTGTTATCTAAAAACAGAGTTTGTTATAATTCTGATAGCAGAATTTTGCTGGGTGATGATGGGCTTGAGGTAATTTGCAGTGGTTGAAACCCCATGCACAGATACCGTATGGGGATAGATTAGTGAGGAGTATAATGAGAGAAGAGCAGAATGGGGAACATAAAACAGTACAGTATGTGATTTTAGGGAGGGAGGGAATTATAAGGGGGGAAAATGCCAAGCCATTACGACTATATAGCACTTGCAAGGGGTTGGGATGGAACGTTGGAAAAGAATGGTGCCCAGCCACTTAGACGGTCGAGGATTGAACGCCGACCTGTATGAAGTGAGATCGTTGTACAGCCCAAGTGGTTGGACCTGACTTTAGAGAGTATACTGACAGTTTTAGACTTTTTTGGCTATGCCATATTGGTACTGAAGTTTAGTCTCTTGTCTATGTATAAGCAAAGAAATTTTCCTTCATTTATAATGTTAACATTTTATATCTGAAAGTGAATTTAGTTTGATGATTTGCTTCCAAATAAAATGTAGTAGGTCTTTTATATGTTAAGTGTGAGTTTGTTGGTCGACATCCATGAGGGAACTTTTTTTTTAATTCGTTATTTACAATATGATGTAGATTTAGATTTAATTTTTTTATTAAGGTAAATTACATACATCGAGTTACATACATAATGTTGGATTTAAAGATAGTGATAGTACATACAATACCCAAAGCCACTAGTACGCATAGCGTTTCGGGCAAGGTGTGGGGGAAAAAACACTGACTAAAACTTAATAGTACAGTAATTGAGCTTAAAGTATAAATTGTGCTGAAAAAAATAAAAATAAAATAAGGGGGGAGCAAGGCAGAGAATAGCAATTACAAGTTTGTCAACAAACAGCACTGATTACAATAGTAATACATGGGTTGACATTTAGGGATAAGGTAGGTTACATGGAGTTTATTAGGTAGTTTTTAGTTTTTATCTTAAACTGGCTGAGAGAGGTACAGTCTTTGACATGATTGGGAAGGTCATTCCACATTCTGGGTCCCTTGATTTGCAGAGCATTTCTAGTTTGATTAAGTCGTACTAGTGGGATATCAAATAGGTATTTGTTTCTGGTGTGGTGCCCATGGGTTCTGTTACAACCTTCTAAGAAGCTTTTATGGTCATGATTGACATTACAGTACAGAGTTTTAAATATATAGAGTACACATGAGAGGATGTGCAGTGACTTAATATCTAACATATTTAGAGATTTGATTTGAGTAAGGGTACCGAGTGATGCCTGGGGCCAGAGTTAGATATTGTTCTAATAGCAGCTAAATCAGTATTCTGAAACAGTATTCAGTACAGTAAATAACATCAGTACTGGAAGATGGAATATCATTTGCAAGGGATGACCCAATGAAAGAGAAGAACCTATTGAACTCAATGGCAGATGAAGGTAGTATCGTCAGCATAGTGTAGATTTAAGAACGTTAGAGACATTTGGCAAGTCATTGATG